CATTTTCCCTCCTATTTAAACTTCTCTCTGGGCTTCTTCTATGGGCAGAAGTGTGCCAAGTGGCTGAAGCTCACACGCGGAGTTCGAGATCGAATCCTGGATCGTGCAGCTTACGGGCCAACTAAGCCTTCCAATGCGAGTCGCATTCGAAAGAGGGTTGTTCAGCGGCAAATACTTTATCTTTGGACCATATGTATAGTTTTGCATCCAACCAGGAAGATCAGATTGCCCGGATTAGACATAATGGCTGGTATGCAGATGTTGGTAGACAACGTCCAAAGTAGAGAGCTCGGAGCTGCCGAGTCCGGTCGGGGGACCCATCGTGCATGCCCTCATGTTCGCTCCTCCCCCTCTTGGTCGTCACGGTTTGTCGACGTCTCGACTCTCCGGGCTCTGCAACCTTATACATTAGATGCATTAGTACAGTGAGTTTGGCTCTTACGGTAGATGAGGATGGGGGAGTGTCGATAGTGGCGACAAGATTCGAATGAAGTGGCCGGAGTAGTAGATTACGATATTGCGATAGAAGGATAGTAGAGATTGAGATCAGGATAGTGCGCTGAAGATTAGATATGTATTGATCTATTCGCTTGAAGTCGCCCAATCTACTACTCTCCAGCGATTTCAATCGATACGTATCCAATCTTGTCAGCGCAATCTCCTACTCTACTACTATCCTAATATCCTATCGCCTACTATCCTAATCTCCCGAGTCGCGAACTATGAACGCAACCTCATAATCAGCATGATACTGAGCAGTCTTCGTCAAAAGCACTTTACGAATTTAATGCGATTATTTAGCAATGGGTGTTGGTCTGAAAATGATCCCATCATACGTAAGAGCTATTCCCAATGGAACAGAAACTGGCGATTATTTGGCACTGGATCTCGGAGGTACAAACTTCCGTGTGTTGCTGATTCGTCTGCGAGGGAGTGAAGCTGAGATGGTCGGCAAGATCTACGAGATACCAACATCGATACAGCGAGGAACTGGTGAAGCTGTGAGTTTGCCTTCTTTCATTGAACTTACAACTTATGAAACAATATAAAGCTTCAGTACAGGGAGTAGAGGTTGATATTCCACTAAACTAAAGGAAGGAGACATGACAAATTGTGTGTTTGAGGAAGGGCAAAGTGGCTACTGTAAAGGGAAGTTGGGCTGAGGAGGGGCAAAAGGTGACTGTTCTAAGGGTGAGGGGCTCGTCCGTAGCTGCCTTGCGAGCTCGTAAAATCTCATTGGATGTCTCATACCTTTGCTTGCCCACCGATTGGGTAATTCTGCTGTTCCACCTTCGCCATCTCGAGCCGTTCTAGCGAACAGGTAGCGCAGTGTTCATGATGATGACGTCATCACCGATGTGACTCGTCCAAAGAAAGCAAAGTTCACTTTCTCCAGGATTCAGGGCGTCACCCTAAGTTTTCTAGTAACTTCACCACTGCGCCCTCAACTTTAGGTCTACCTTTCATTTTCGACCGCGACCAACTTTTCGTGCCCCCTCCCTTTAAGGTATCTCGACCATGGGACCAGCTCAGATTTGTCTCAAAATGCTAAACCTACATAGTGTATCAGTTCGGCTTCGCACGCTAAATGCGCATTACTGTACT